TGATATTTCATTGTTGAGTGGCCGAGAAAAGTTGATATTTTATCAAATTAACACCACTGAGCGGATATGTTTTTCTTTTCTCATTACCCATGTCTTGAAAATTAAATCGAAATTGTAATAAGTTTTAAGTCAACCACGTTTGGCAGTCAGAGACTTTTAATTTTTTTAATTGTCACGGAAGCTTTCAAACAATGAGACATTCGATTTTAAAAAAACCCTTACTGGTTGTTTAAAGTTTCGTTACATTTAAAACCATTTCGATTTATAATAGATTCTCCAGGATATGCAGTGCCACGAAGGCGTGTGGAAGATTCAGGAAGATTAGGTAGTGAAGCAGGTTTTTGTAAGAGGCATATTGAGTTAACAATGAGTTATTTATTTAGTTCGAGTTGCAGATAGTGCAAAGCACTTAACTTAAAGATGATGTAGAGGCAGACTAGTCTATTAAACCGTAGAATACGCGATCATGGAAGCTAGTCAAAGTAGCAGAAATTTAAATCACACAGAGTTTTGTCCCAGAAAGGATAACACTCACCAAAGTACAAATTTGTTGTCTGGTTATGTAGCTGCCTTGTAGATCACAGGTTTGAAACAGGCGTCAAAATCTCGTGGCTTTAAGATTCCTTTTGATACCCTTTTAGCTTTGATAGAATATTTTGAGGTAGTATAATTAAAATTCCATCGGTAGATGTCGTCAATTGGAAGGTTACTTATGTATGGCAATTAGTTGATATCTGGGCTTAGGATTTGCCGAGGCAGTCTTTTTTCGTACTTTTGAGGTAGATATAACGGTTTGTCTCGTTGTTAAGTTGGTATTCCTGATTACCCGTCCGTCAACTTTTTTATAGGGAGTAAAGGCGGAGAAGAAGATGGTGGACGGCAAACAGGTGGATGACTATTGGGCAGCTTCCAAAAAGGTTTGATGGGCGTTTTACAATCAGCCTGCAGTGCAGGTGTCTTATAAGCACGAGTTAGCGTTTATCCGGCTGACCGTGTTTAATTTGGAGTTAAAGTGCT